TTCCAAGTCGGATAAGACGGTGTAACCTCAGTTATTTTGTAGCATGCTTGAAGCTTTTCCCAATGGGAGGATAGCAGGCCTCATGGAATACATACAGAAACCAGCCATGTAATCATTTGTCTGAAGACAAGAACCCTGGGTGCCCTAGGCTTTCAGACTATTTGTCACTATCGAATGAGAGCATCCAGCTTTCCTCTGCAGCAGTGTATATTCAGTCTGCCAACAGCAATTTTATTTTCTGTGTGGCTAATCCTTTAAGGGGGGAAAAGTCACAAATCTGAATCTTCTAGTCTTCTTAGCAATTCTGTTTCTCATAGTAAATTAAAAGGTTGATATTGTAGTTATCAGTCAGGTCCCTATGGTTTTATTTTCCCAGAACCCGTTTATTTCTGGTGGAAGTGGTAAACTTGGCTTCTTGGTCTTGCAAAGTTGAGGACTGACTCAAGAGCTGTGCCACATGAAAAGACAGGTGGACAGGAAAGGAGAGAGGGAGAGAAACACTTATATGAGGTCAAGCCCTCAACCTGGGCATGTGCCCTGATCGGCAACAGAGCCTGCAACCTTTCAGTGCAGGGACGATACCCAACCCACTGAGCCACACCAGCCAGGGCCTAGGGGCCGGTCTTAAATACTAAATGAATAATGCTCATTTTGCTATATTCATTTTCTTCATTTAACTTGTATGCTAAAGCATTTTTTTAACTTAAGAACATGTCACGTGTTCTTTGTTAATAAACTAGGAAATAAGAAAAAATTAAAGCACTTAATATCCTACCACTAGCTAACTAGAGATAGCTAGCTGTAGATTGCATATGTATATCCTTCTAGTCTCTTCTTTGCAAGCTTTGGGCTGTCTTAAGTTAGTCTGGATTTGCTTCTTTGAAGTTTTTTTCTTTTTTTTGTATATTTTGGGTAACGGTTCTTTTTAGATATGAATGTCTTTTATAAGTATTTTCTCCCAATCTGTGGCTTTTTTCCTCATCCTCTCTACATTGTCGTTCAGAGAGCATACGTTTTTTAATTTTAATGAAGCTCGGTTTATCTGTTCTTTCACCAGTGTCATGCTGTCTTGATTCCTGTAGCTTTATAGTAAGTCTTGATGTTGGGTAATGTCAGTCCCCCAACTTTGTTCTTCCTTAGTATTGAGTTGGCTATTCTTTATTGTTTGCCTGTCCATATAAACTTTAGTATGAGTTCATCGATACCCGTAAAATAGGTTGCTGGGATTTTTATTGGAATTGCATTGAATCTATAGATCAAGTTGGGAAAAACTGACATCTTGACAATATTGACTCTTCCTATCCATGAACAAGGAATATCTTTCCATTTAGTTCTTTTCTTTTTTTTTTTTTTTTTTTTTTTTTTTTTTTTTTATGAGACATTTGGGCAATCACAAAGGTAGAAGAAATAATTTGTTGAAGAAATGGGCTTAGGAAACAAGTTATAGAGGCAAAGCACCTGGTTCTTTTTCTTCTTTCACCGGAGATTTATTTTCCTCATATACATCTTGTGCATATTTTGTTAGCTTTATAGCTAAGTATTTCATTTTGGTGAGTGCTGATGTAAATGGTAATGTTTGTAACTTGTGTATTACTGGTATTAGGGGCCAAAATTGAATATTGGGGACTGGCTACAGCTATAAGAAATATTAATCATGCTTTGTTTACCGTGTTTGCCTTGTTCTGATTAAAGAAAGGACATTCTAACCTGGCTGGGAGTTGTTTGTGTGCCCTCCCACCCCCACCCTGCCCCCAGGACCTGACCATGAACCTTGGACCTGGGAGCAGGTCCATTCTCATTCAAGAACTGCCTGTTAACAACCTATTGTCCAAACAGTGGAGTCCTACCCCAGCCCACCTTGCCTCCTTCCCTCCTTCCCTCTAATCTTTGTCCTGTCCAGCATGCGCTGCTGGTTTAGGGGGTTGCAGAAGAGATTTTGGTGGATGACCTGCTGTCCTCCCGTACCGCCAGCAGTATTGGAATGAACGTTCATAAAGATTCAACTCTGACTCTGCTTAATTGGCTCACGTAGTGACAGGCAGTCCAGCTTATCGGGCTACATATTCTGGCAACTGTGATAGGACACAAGCAGGAGAGTCCTCCTGGGTGAGTACCAGGGATCCTGTTTGCTGCCTGGACTGCGAGTTCCCAGGGCTGAGACCTAGACTCTTATTTTTATTTGCAGCGCTGCCAGGAATTTTCCTGATTTGAGTCCCAGCTGCAGCTTCCGCAGTCTCCATCATCACACACACACACACACACACACACACACACACACACACTCACACTCACTAACACAGGCGCACACTCACACTCACACACTCGCACACACACACACACATGCACACACACACTCACACTCTCACACTCACACACTCACACACACATACATACACAGTCTGAAGTGAGCCTGGCCAGCCCCTGGTTGCCTCAAGGTCCTTGCCTGGTCATTCTATCTGGCATTCTATCTGGCTGTGCACTGTAAACTACAAACAGTTGTCTGTCTGTTGTGTGCACTTCTAAGTATAGTATATTGAGCTGGTTTTACCTGGTGTAACGTGGCCTGTAATCTTGCTTAAATCGTTCAAGGATGGTGCTCCATTGGGATGGATCTGGGGGGGTTGGGCTACTTACACTTACCCGCCAGTGAACAAAGGAAAAGGGTGTTTTACTGCCATACCGCTTGGCCTGTGTGTGCTCTAGATTCTGGGGAAAGGTGGCCATTAATTGGATCTCTAAACCTTCATACTGTGTTACAGTTAGAATTGTTTTATCAGAGGTCGGGGAAATGTTCGAAGCTTTATATTGTATAATTCTGACTCAAAAGAAAATCAGGAAGGGGGTAAATTAATGGTTCAGAGAAAGAAGTGGTACCTGTAATGCAGAAAGGTAAAGGAAAGGAGGAGAAGAGGGAGGAGAGGCTGCCGAGGGGTCCGTAGTTAGGAGACCTCTACCAAGTGCTCCAGGCGCGGGGAGCTCCCTCCTCCATCTGGGCTGCTGGGCGCTGAAGAGGAGCTTGAGACCGTCACCCCATTCCCTCTCCATGGGAGTGAGGCGGGGGACTGAATTTGGGGGAATAGAGCTATTTCCCCTTGGGGGCAGTCCCCCGTCTGCCATATCCCAGTGGGAGCCACTGAGCATGGGCACCCGGCAGGATATTATTGGGCCCGTACTTGGTTCTCCTTGGATTTGCTAAATTGGAAACATTCCCTCCTAACGGGATGAACCTGCTAAGGTCACAGATTTGATTATTTCCATATGCGCCACTCATAACCCCAACTGGGCCAATATGGAGACACTCTTAATCTTTTAATTGGGGGGTGAGAGGTTAGTGTTTGGGAAAGCAGGGTGTGAGGCTCTTGTCTGGGTTGTGTCGGCTGTAAATATTGTATATAAGAGTCTGTTGATTATTGTTTCGTGTCTCCTTGTTGTTTGGTTTAATTTGTTTGAAGTTGGGGCATATCCCACTTTGTTAGGGGCCCCAGCTGTTTGTGGCAGGCTGAACCCCTGGCGGGGATTTCAGGGATTCTCCCCAGCCAACAAGACTTCTTATCTAAGGGACCCTCCCAGCTCTCCCTCTCAAGACAGCTGCCACCCAGAATGCTTAGCTAGTGAGAGTTCTTGTCCGTCTGTAATGTAATTGGTTATTGATGTTCTCTGTTTGCTTTATCTTCTGGGGCCTTTTTACTCTCGCCCTTTTATAAACAAACACAGGGAATCCTCTGTCCCTGCTGTTTGGGCTTTGTCCCACTCAGAACCGAAGGTCCTTTGCTCTGCTGGGTGAGTGTGAGATAAGACTAACGGCCCAGTCCATCCTTTTGAGCTCTCATTTATTTACTTTGGGCTTTGTGTTTTGTTTGCGTTTTTTAAGATCTCTTCTTATATGCAAGATTTCTTGTTGTTACCCGGCATCCTCAGAAATAAAAGTATGAGAAGTAAACCTTCTAAACCCCTCTCCTTTCCTTTCCCCTACCCCCGATTTTGTACTAGGAGGGCCGGAGCTACAGAGAGGCCTCAAGCAGGGGCCACTTCCACTTTGTAGAAGAAGAAAAAAATAGTGCCCAGCCAGCCTGGCTCAGTGGTTGAGTGCCAACCTGTGAAACAGGAGGTCCCCGTTCGCTTCCCGGTCAGGGCAAGGGCATAATGCTCAATCCCCAGCTGTGGGCATGCAGGAGGCAGCCGATCTGTGATTCGCATCATCAATGTTTCTATCTCTCCCTCTCCCTTCCTCTCTGAAATCAATTAAAAAAATATTTTTTAAAAAATAGTAAAGTCTTTGGTAACTTAAGCTTCGGAGTTCTACTGGGTTAAATAGTAAAAATTATTAAATATCTAGGTATTTTAAGAGAAATGTTGAAAGGAAGTTCCGTAAATGACACAGGCCAGTGGAATAGGGAAAGGGAGAGAGTAAACAGCAGTTTGGAGTCGTCTGTAAGTCCCTAAGAAAGGACATTTAGGAGTAAATGATTTGCAGTTTTCCTCTCTAGCCAGAGGGTCAATACCTCGTGTCAATCTACTCTAGGAGACAAGATCGCAGAAATCCAATTAGTATTGTTTCTAAAAAAAAAAAAAAAAAAAAAAAAAAAAAAAGGTTAATGGAATAAAAACTCATTTTGGTTTCAGTATAAAGCTGATGAATCTGTTGATCTTCACAAAATGGAAGGCCCAGCAAGAGCTCTCCTGATTAATAAATTCAACTAAGTAAATAAATTTAATTAGATAAATGAATCTAAAGTAAGCTAATGCAGAATTTCTTAAGTCCTTTTCTAGTCTGTTAAAAGGAAAAAGTCTTTGCTGGTTTTGCCCAGGAAACAAAAGTTCTATAAATGACTGAAATGGTAATATATTATGTTATTAATCAGGTATTTGATTGTTTTTTAAAAAGCCATCTTAATCATGAGAACTGAAGTTTTGCTAGTCTTTGCTTGTGTTTAATACCCTTTTGTCACTTTTTAGCAGTTAATGGATGCCTGGAAGTTGACATACATATATATTCAGAAATGTTATATCGCTTCTGGGCCTTTTGGCTAAGATCAAGCACAGAAATGTTTTGCTTCCTGAGACCTGTGAGGAGGTAAGCTTCATGGTCCAATCTATAATTAGTATGAGGGGGCTGTTATTTTTCAAATTCTAATGTTATTTTATATTATGATGAAGGGCAAGAGAAAAAAAAAAAAGAAAGAAAATGAAAATTCATATGAACAGCCAGGTCCTGCAAGAGCCCATTCAGAGCAGGAGGTAAAAAGAATACCATCTTTCAGAATAGTTCAGTATGAAAAGCTTAAGAGGAAAAAAGATAAAGCTTGTCCTTAGCACATTTTTATCGTGTTGCCCTCAATTCTACTGTTGTCTATGGAAAACCACTCTTTGCATTAGATTGTGTACTATGGTCATGTGACTGCTGTATTTGCTGTTTACGTATGTATACTATAAATCTTAAGTAGAATCATTCCAACAAGACACAGGATTCCTCCACTGGGTGACTTTGGTTCAAGGACTCCCCCTTGGCGTGACTGAGCCTTCTTGGAGCTGTGCTCCCGCCCCTGACTTCCTACTGAACACTCCTTTCCTCCTCCTTCACCCTCCTCCTCCCCCTCATTCCCCTCCTCCTCCTCCCCCCTCCTCCCCCTCCTTCTCCTCCCCCTCCTCCCCCTCCTCCTCCCCCTCCTCCTCTTCCTCCTCCTCCTCCTCCTCCTCCTCCTTCTCCTCCTCCTGCAGGTGTCAGACCTGAGTCATGGTCTGAAAGCTCTCCCTATCTTCTCTGTCCTTTCCCAATAATTCTCTTGCACATCTAATCCTGTCTTGAACTCTTCTTTCAGCAGACCCAAACTAAATATACATAAAACATATACAGCAAACAATATATATATAAAGCATATTTACTGCCTTCAAGAATACAGTGATAGTTGAGGGTGGATAGGTGGAAGATAAGAAGAAGAAATGAAATTATGTCATTTATACATTATGGTATTATGTTCCAAGTAAGTGTGTGTGTGTGTGTGTGTGTGTTTTGAATTTAAAAAGGGAATGACTGTTTATAATGAGGATTCAATAGGGAAGGTACAGTGCTTCCTGGAATATAGTAGGTATGCATAGTAGGTAATTGTTTAGTGAGTACAATTAAATAGAAGTGAAAGTCAGGGAGGATGTTTTAGAGTTTAGACTTCGTGGAGAAGAGGATGATCAATGGACACTGGGTCTGAGGGTCTCTGTAAGGAGTGGCTGGAGATCAAGTTTGAAAGATAGAATGGAAATTATAGAGAAATGTATATACAAGACTAAGGAGTGGATTTTATTCTGCAGGAGTTGAAAGACAATGAGAGGTGTTTGCTAGGGAATCAGTGATAGCGGGACTTTAGGAAAATTAACCTATATACAGTATGATTAGGGAAAAGTACATTGATTATGAGGTTCTGCAATACAATTTTGTGGTGATAATTGGTAGCAGGAAAACGGAAGAATGGATAATTTCAAAGGACATTATGAAAGTAAGAAGAAACAAGACTAACTTAAAATGGGATGGGTATGGTAAGCTAGTTCGGGCAGAAGTGAATCTGAGGTTTTGTGGTTTGGCAACCCTGAGAACCAACTGCTGCCTTACCTTCTGTTTCCAGGCTGAGCTTAGAAGGACAATAATGACCTCTACTCCTTTTTTTAGACTTGTAAAACTTGAGTGGCTGGCAGGAGAGCTTAGAGTCTGTCAGACATCTGGAAATAAAAGCCAACATTCAGATGGGGGAAATGGAGTTGTCACTCACATTTACTTATGCTGCCTCGTATCGAGGACTTTCACACCTACCCCACTATTTCCTCCACTGTTCAAACTTCCGTTATATCCCTAATACGCAGCCCATACGTTGAATTTATAAAAAGTTAGACTACATGCAAAAAACACAAACGGTGATCTGAAAATATGTTGGTGGTCTCCAGATTGTTAAAAATAATCTGCAGAAATGACTCTATAGTCCCTCCATTTTAAAACTAGAAAACTTTTCAAAAGACTCAGTATACATAATATATGAGACAAAAATGTGCCCAATATTTAGAGACTTCTTTATATAAATGGAAAAGGTAAATTACAGTATGCAAAAATAGTTGGCAGAGAAGTACTTCCCCAAAATTGCAGATAATTTCATTTAGATTTAAAACTACATTAAAAAAAACACTCTCGAAATAATATTAGCACGCCAGCATTGAGGAAATGAACGAAGAGACGTCTGAATCTTCTTTATAAGCATTATAGTTCTCAGAATATTTTTCAGTATAAAAAGATGACATTTGATACAAAAAATTATCATCATTTGCAGTGAAGCCAGTTAATATTTCCAAGTGTGTGTTTTTTTTTTAGGGGAAGTTGTTCATTAGTATTTAATATTATTTCTCACATTGTATCAGTAGAACTTACATCATGTGGTTTTATAAACTATGATACTCACTGCTTGTTAAAACTTGCTAGATTTCTGAAAACCACCAAATTTTGTATTTTGGTTTCTTTCTTGTCCTATGGCATTTTCCATACATATTAATTTTTTCATACATAGTAATTTTAATATTGCCATCACTTTATACACTGGGGATTTGTGTGGACATCAGGACCTCAACAAATAATAAACTCACATCTTGTTAAAAGGTTATGTCTGGAGAAGGTGTCTTCATGCTGGTTTTTCTGCTCAAGAGCATTCTCTGGGGCTGAAGCAGTCAATGCCTTGAGGCCGTTCTATTTTGCAGTGCATCCAGATTTCTTTGGACAGCACCCCAGAGAAAGGGTAAATGTTTATTATTACTATTAATTTTTAATGTTTTATTTTTATTTTTTCCATTTTTTATTAAGGTATTATATGTGTACATATCTTACCATTGCCTCCCCCCACTCCCTTATATGCCCTCCCTCCCCAGAGTTTTTCGTTCATTAGTTTTACTTATATGCATGCATACAAGTCCTTCAGTTGATCTCTTATCTCCTCCATATCTCTGTATCCTCCCCGCTGAATTTGACAGTCTGTTTGTTGCTTTTCTGTCTCTGTGTCTATCTTTTTGTTCATCAGATTATAATGTTCTTTATTGTCCATAAATGAGTAAGATCATGTTGTGTTTTTCTTTCATTGACTGGCTTATTTCACTCAGCAGGATGTTCTCCAATTCCACCCAGGTTGCTACAAATGATAAGAATTCCTTCTTTTTTATGGCAGCATAGTATTCCATTGTGTAGATGTACCATAGCTTTTTTATCTAATCATCTGCTGACGGGCACCTAGGCTGTTTCCAAATCCTAGCTATTGTAAAATGTGCTGCTATGAACATAGGGGTGCATATTTCCTTTCTGATTGGTCTTTCTGGTTTCTTAGGATATATTCCTAGAAGTGGGATTACTGGGTCAAATGGGAGTTCCATTTTCAGTTTTTTGAGGAAACTCCATACTGTCCTCCACAGTGGCCGCACCAGTCTGCATTCCCACCAGCAGTGCATGAGGGTTCCTTTTTCTCCACAGCCTCACCAGCACTTGTCGTTTGTTGATTTGTTGATGTTAGCCATTCTGACAGGTGTGAGATGGTACCGCATTGTTGTTTTGATTTACATCTCTCTGTTTATTATTTTTTAAATCTTAATCTATGTTCCTGTTTAGCTTATTTGCCGTAGTTACAGGATAAGGCAAATTAATACAGGTTAATACAGAGTTCTCTACATTCATATTGTTCTGTCCTTGTGATATAATCAATGCTTTGAATTAATTTGAAATATAGATACTGCAATTGGAAAATAAATTATTTCTTATGAAATCTGACATTTTTTATGCAGGCAGTAAAGCTAGCATGTAGACTCTTTAGAGTATTAGTAATGGTATTTTATGTACCCATTTTTTGTGTTGTTTTTTATGGGTTGTTTTTTTTTGCGGGGGGCGGTTTGCAATTAGTAAATTGAGTCAACAGAAAAATTTTACTTTGAAAAGACCTAATGATTATTAGGATGTAATTAAATATTTAATTTAATAATTTAAAATTTTAAGATCTAACATGTATGGAAAATTAAGCCTAATAGTAGATAAATGTTTTCTCTCCTCTACCAATGTGATGAAATGCCAACATATTTTAATAATGCAGTATTTTAATACCCTCAAATGTGTCAAAAAGGTAAGGATGTAATTTCTGCTATTTCCTTTTTCTTCATTTGTATGTAAATGCCCTTAATATTTTTTCCAGGAAGTCAATGAAAATTCTCTTCAGAGATTAAGTGTCTATTTAGAAAACCTTCAGAAACCAGGCTTCAAGTCTTTGAAACCAACTCAGCTCACCTTCTATGTAAGAGAAACAGACCAGAATTCCTCTGATGGCCAGGAACCCTTTAATACTTTAGGTACGTTTCCTTATTTCTAGTCTGTCTTTTTGCAAGCTTCATGTTAAATAGGTTCATTCATTCTGGCATTGCCAGAATACCTTTGGATTGAGTCTTTGTTCATATTTGAAAGGAGAGATAATAATGGCACAGTTGGTGGGAGTGTTGGTTGGAAAGTTATGTAATTTAACTAAGAACCACCCAGTTAAAGGGGCTAACAAAAAACAAACAGTGGAGTTTCTATTGATGACTTTAGTTAGATTACTAACCTTAGCCCAATGACTACCCAGTAGCAAAATGAGATTGTCAAGCATAATTTTTTTTGTTCAAACTTTTTTATTTTATTTATTTATTTATTTTACATTTTTTAATTAAATTATTATCTGTGTACATGTTTTAACATTGCCCCCCTCCTATATATACTCTCCCTCCCCAGAGCTTTGTGTCCATTGGTTGTATTTATATGCATGTATACCAGTCCTTCTGTTGATCTATTATCTCCCCCAGATCTCCTTACCCTACCTGCTGTAATTTGACAGTCTGCTTTTTGGTCAAGCATAATTTTAAATCACTTCTGAAAATACTGAGCTATTAGATAGTTGGGCAACTATGAGGACAGGACAGTCTCTTTCAATCACAGAGAAAATTCTAGATGAGTTTCTGTCACCACTGAGGCTAGATTGTCTGGCTCCTCTTCTGAACCACTGTCACAAAAACACCTGTGGTGGACACTGGCTTATAAGAGAGCTTTACTATCTCTTACACTGCAGAGACCCAATCTATGGGCACCATTGAAAATATTCTGAGCCCTAGCCAGTTTGGCTCAGTGGATAGAGGGTTGGCCTGCTGACTGAAGAGTCCCAGGTTTGATACCTCAGTTGCAGGCTCAATTCCCGGCTCTGGTCAGGGCCCATATGGGAGGCAATCAACCCAAGTGTCTCTCTCACATCCATGTTTCTCTGTGTGTGTCTCCTCCTCCCTTCCACTCTCTCTAAAACTCAGTGGGAAAATACCTCTGGTAAGGATTAACCGAAGAAAATATTCTGAGTCCCCTTCTTGGGCTGGGTGGGTTTGGTCACTGGTACCGAACTAGAAAAGGAACTGACAATTGGAGGAATTCTTGACGGTAGACAGTATTGGTATTATTTGGAGAAAGACAGTAGTGTGCCATTGAGAGATGGTTTGCCAATAGGGTGAATTTTAATCGATAACGGGCTCTTTTTTTTTTCCTTTTTTTTTTTTCCTTTTTTTTTTTACAGAGAGGAAGAAAGAGGGATAGAAAGTCAGAAACATCGATGAGAGAGAAACATCGATCAGCTGCCTCTTGCACACCCCCTACTGGGGATGTGCCCACAACCAAGGTACATGCCCTTGACCGGAATCGAACCTGGGACCTTTCAGTCCGCAGGCTGACGCTCTATCCACTGAGCTAAACTGGTTTCGGCTAATGGGCTCTTTTAAAAGAGTTTTATTTTATAAATTCTGTTTGACAAAATTTTAAAAGAAGCAAATAATCACCTGTCTTTATTGTTTGGTGGAATTATATTCTCTAGGATTCCGAACAGTCAAATTTACTTTGCACACCAGGGATCTGCAAAGCACAGTATTATATATTCTCAACTCCTGCAGTTTATCAGTTGAACATGTCCAAAGCTTGAACAGCAATGTGCGTCCCCAGCCCCCCAAAGAGGCGAAGAGGATGACGGACAGGCCCATCAAATGGGACAAGTCTTACTACTCCTTTACTGGATTCAAAGACCCAGATGAAGACCTTGAGCATGTCTCAAAAATGGAAACAACCCTAGCGTACGTAAAAGTTTCTATTTAACTAAACCTTTTTGTAGTTTGCCTTTAAAATTAAAGTCTTAATTTTCTAGGAAAAGAAATCCTATCAGTTCAGTTAACTCAATAACCATTATGAAAAAGATATTTCATGTTTCTTAGTTGCCAGAATACTTCCAACTGTATTAAAATTTTTATCTTTTCATCCCAGACCCATACAGGAAATTATTTAAGGTTTTAAAATTCTCTTCAAGTTACCCTTGGTATCTGAAGAAAGGATATATCTAAATCTTTTTTTTTTTTAATATGCTTCATGGGTTCTGCATTTTCGGTTTCTTTGGAGAGGTCAGTAGTAAGTCCTTTAATGTAATGACCCATACATAATAAGAATACATGGAGACAATGTTTAAAAATGTCATGAGGACTGACTAATGTGCCTCAGTGGTTCAAGGTCAACCTGTGAACCAGGAGCTCACAGCTTGATTCTCGGTCAGGGCCCATGCCTGGATTGCAGGCTCAATCCCCAGTAGGGGTCATGCAGGAGGCAGCCACACAATGAATCTCTCTCATTGGTATTTCTCTCTGTCTCTCTCCTTTCTCCCTCCCTCCCTCTTCCTTCCTCTCTGAAATCAATAAAAATATTTTTTAAGCCCTGGCTGGTTTGCTCAGTGGATAGTGCTGGTTTTCAAATTAAAGGCTCCTGGGTTCGATTCTGGTCAAAGGCAAGTACCTTGGTTTCAGGCTCCTCCCCAGCCTGGGCCCTGCTCAGGGCTCGTGCAGGAGGCAGCCAGTTGATGTGTTTCTGTCACACTGCTGTTTCTCTGTCTTTCCCTCTCTCTTCCACTCTCTAAAAATCAATGGGAAAATATCCTTGGGTGAGAATTTTAAAAAATGATATTTTTAAAAATAAATAAAAGAAATTTTGTTCACCTGATCAGAATTTATCCTTGAAAAGCATGTTAAGATATTTCTAATATTTCAGGGCATAGCAAGAGAAAATATAACAACAGTATTATTTAGTATAGACTTTTAATTTTGAAAATAATTTTGTTTTTATTGAGAAGTACAGGCTGAAATAGTTTCTTACTATTGTGAAATAAAACACACAAAAATTTGAAAATCCGTTGGGTTTTATCAAACACAAAATAGAGAGCTATCGGGTCATAAAGCTCCCTTTAATCTATCTTCCTATTCTATCTAGTAATTAGAGTCTGATCTACAGTTCTGGACATGCTGTGTGATGGTTAATGTTCCGGCATTCCTTTCCAGTCCCACTGCTTCCCGCCAACCGAGTGCCCTGCTGCAGTCTCCTCTCAACTACTTCATCTACACTCCCCTCCCCTCCTTTGTTTTATATAATTTGGCCCCGGTTTAATTGGAGTTTTTAACATTGGCACTACTCTAAAGCAATGCATATGTGTTTTAATAGTAGGCATGTTTGTGTGGTAATTAGAACATGTATGTCTTTTTCTTTCTAGATCCTGGTTAGATAGCAACGGGAAACGCGCTATTAAAAAGCTGGAGAATAGTTTGCCACTTAGAAAAGAACTAGATCGTTTAAAAGATGAACTGTCTCATCAGTTGCAGCTCTCAGATATCAGGTAATAAAGAGAAACTAACCTGGAGATTAGAATAAACGTGGATTACCAATCGGTAAAGTTTTCCAGCAGTTTGCATCTTTTACTTTAATTTCTTGGATAACTAAATATTCTTCAATTATCTTTTTATGAAAGTAATCAAATGTTCATTTGCTTAATAAAACTATAATTTCTTGTTTAAAATAATGAAATAAGGCCCTAACCAAGTAGCTCAGTTGTTTGGAGCATCATCCGGTACACTAAATGGTGGCGAGTTCGATTCCAGTTTCAGGGCACAGACTGAGGTTGCAGAGGGCAAACGATTGATGTTCCTCTCTCTAAATCATTCCTACCTAGTGAAATAAGGTTTACATACTGATATATTTGTAGCTAGTTGAACTAAATCATTCCTACATAGTGAAATAAGGTTTACATAGTGATATATTTATAGCTAGTTGAACTAAATCATTCCTATATAGTGAAATATGATTTAAATAGTGATATATTTGTAGCTAGTTGAACTTTTTTACATAGTGAGTTTATAAGAAAAATATTCTTTTCATATAACATATAAAAATAATCATTTCTTCATATAAGGTTGATATTTGAGTTTAAAAAGAAGAAAAGAGAAAATAGAGATTGTCTTGGTTCTATAGACATGAAAATAACTTTTTCTAGTATAAGCTTTAAAAGATCTGTCAAAGCAGACTGGCATTAGTGAAAAAGGAAATAAGCTTGATTTTACAGTATTGTGGAGAAATCCCTCAGCTAATTCTTACTATTGTAAATGTAAATAAGTGTAACCCATATGAACAAAGGCTCTCTGGGACTCTCAGTGTTTGAGAGTGCAACAGGGTTCAAGGGCATGGGCATGACTGCTTTCAACAAATGGAAACATTGTGACTGGTTCTAAACAGCCTATAAAAGACTACCCTAAATAACAAAAAGGTAATATGCAAATTGACCCTTGTGGCAAACGACCAGGGAACTACCTGTCACTATGAGGCACACTGACCACTAGGGGGGCAGACACTCAATGCAGGAGCTGCCCTCTGGGGTCAGTGCGCTCCCAGAGCGGGTGCTCCGCTCAGCCAGAAGCCAGGATGATGGCTGCGAGCACAGCTGCGGTGATGGGAGGGTTCGCAGGCTGCCAGAGGGATGTCTGACTGACAGCTTAAGCCTGTCCCCCAGGGAGCAGGCCTAAACTGGAAGATGGACATCCCCGAGGGTCCTGGACTGCAAGAGGGTACAGGCCAGGCTGAGGGAGCCCTCGCCCACCGAGTGCATGAATTTCGTGCACCGGGCCTCTATTTATTAATAAAGAACAGCATTTAGTAGCTTGATCACAGTTAATTCTTTAAAATTGTATCTCAGTTTTTCAATTGTGGATTAAAGTGAACAATTTTTAAGCCAATTTCATTTTATCAGAAATGGCATTCATCAGAATCAGTGTTCAGATACCTGAGGTTTCCCATAGCTTTTCATATATTCTCCTTTGATTTAGACTGCCAGGCAGTAGGAAAGCCCGCACTCTGCATGTGGGAAAGAGAAACCTTAGAAAGGCCAGAAGCAGCTTGTTCAAGGTCACAGAGGTAGTAAATCCCAGAATTAGAATTCAGAGGTGGCTTATTTCATCCTCTAATTTTAAAATAGAAATAACATACATAGTGTTTTTGCTAGTTTTAAATCTTTGGGTACCTGAACGTTAGTAGTAATGTTTTTACCCTCTGGTCAACAATTCATTTTCCATTTGGTTGCTTCTTGAAAAATGAGCTAGTTTAGAAACCTGTTGGGTGCGCACTGACGTTGGGGTGAATACATGTCTCCTCCCCAGGGGTGCCGGTGTTAATGGCCTGTGCTCTCTGTCGGACCAGGTGGCAGCGGAGCTGGGGCCTCGCCCATCGCTGTAGCCAGCTGCATAGCTTAGGCCGCTTAGCACAGCAGAACTTGGAAACACTTAAAAATGCAAAAGGTAAGTAATTTCCATGTTCTTTTAAAATATTACTTACTGTTTTGTCACAGTTAATAATTAATGTTCATTTAATAAATGTTAACATGTATGACAAAAATAAATAAAATAAAACATTACTGCTGTCCACATCTGTAAAGTGTAGAAGTGTTAAAAGTCCTTGCAGATGTGATTTTTATCATAGCTGAATTTTCAAATCTGTTCTTTTGAATAAATCAGAGACATAAAATTAGCCTTTACACTCCTGCATTTAATCCTGAATTTATACACTAAATGTAAGTAATTATTTGCACAGTGCTGAAAGGATGAAGCATCTCTGAACAGTGACCAGAGGGTTTGTTTTGTCATCAGGATGTACAGTAATATTTACAGACCGTTCCGGGATCAGTGCAGTGGGCCACGTGATGCTGGGAACAATGGATGTCCATCATCACTGGAGTAAGGTAAGAAAAAGCTGAAATGCAAAACAAAACAAAACAAAAAAAACCCTCTGATTTGTCATCAGCATAGTTTTGTTTCAAACTCTGCTGTTATGTCAATAAACTTAAAAAATTTAATTGTAGTCACAGCTCTTTTCAGACCAGATGTTTAACATCATGTAGTTTAAAATATTTAGAAGACTGATTTTTAATTCAGATTTTATTTGGAAATTTTAGTCTTTTCTGAAGTATTGCCTAAAGGCTTGTATTTTGTTTGGTTTTAGCTAACAAATTTACTGGCATAATTGACATAAAACAAACTGTATATTTAGTGCGTATAATCTGAGGAGAATTGATATATGTGAATACCAGTGAAACCATTACCACATCCAACATAGTGAACATACTTGTTACCCACACAAGTATGTCCCTTTGTCAACCCTCCTCCATCCCACCAGCCCCTCCCAGCCAGTCACTGGTATAATTAGCTTATATTTCTAGAGTTTTATAAATTGGAATCACGGAGAATATACTTTTGGGTGTGGGAGGGGTATCTGATTTCTTTCACTTAACTATTGATATTCATCCATGCTGTTGTATGTATCAAGGAAATTATTCTTTTTTATTGCCATGTACTATTTCATCCTATGGGTATACCACAGCTCTTTTATCCACTCACCTATTGATGGGCATTGTGTTATCAGTTTTTGACTATTAGAAATGAAGCTTCTATAAACATTATCTACCAATGTTTTTATGGACACATATTTCCTTTTCTCTCGAGTAAATACCTAAAAGTATATAGCTGAATATGTTAGGGCATCTATTATTTTAAGACTTGCAGTGGTTTTCTAATAAGTGTGCAGTACTAGCTCGTAGTAGGTTTAATTTGCATTTTGCATCTTGTCCATGTGTTTATTTGCCACCCACATATCTTCATTGGTGACGTATTGGTTCAAGTCAATATTTGGTAGAAAATATTTGCAAGCCACCTGACAGTCTTTATATCTTACTATATAAAGAACTCTCAAACCTAACAGTAAAAAATACAAATAATCCAACTAGATAATGGGCCAAAGACATGAACAGACATGTCACAGAAGCACGTATACAGATGACAACCATATACGAAGATGTTCCATGTGATTAGCCCTAGCAAACCTCAAATTAAAACTACAATGAGATATCACTACACAACTATCAAAATGGATATCCAGGTTGTTTATGTCAAAGAACTCAAGCCAGTGCTGATGCTGAACAAGTATTACTCTTCTCGATGTGAAAAATAATGACACCATCAAGTGCTGGCGAAGATGCAGAAAACAGACCACTCATTCTCTGCTGTAAAATGGTGCAGGCCTGGACAAGAGTAGGAAAGTTGATGAATTAAATTCATGTCAATGGATTAAATTCTGTTAGACTTGAAATACGTACACATGCTTTCTAAAACCTATCTTTCTCATTTAATCATTCTAAACTAAGTAAAGATTCTTATCTAAATATTAGTACTTAGGCCGATTTCTTTCCTTTTTAAAAAACCCTGTAGCTTTTTGAAAGGTTGCCAAGTTACTTTGACCTCCAGAGGAGGCTAATGCTCCTGGAAGACCAAATAAGCCGCCTTCTGGGGGACATCCAGGTGGTGTATATTGAGGAGCTGCAGCCAGTGCTGACGCTGGACGAGTATTACTCTCTTCTCGACGTGTTCTACAAGAGGTTGTTGAAAAAGAGAGTCCCTTTCCACCCGCAAAGTCTGCGTGGCTTACAGATGATCCTCAACAGGTAAAACCTAAAACAAGAACGACCTCCGTTATCCGCACAGATTGTTCTGTATCTCAGTGTGTGGTTCTGCATCTGCTAGCAACACTCTTTACCATGAAAAGGCCAGCGTGAGAGAACTGAGGGGTTGAACTTGCACACACTCTGTAACAGCGCCACTGACAGGATGCAGTCAGTCCTACGGAAAACTCGCAGGATTGAACTAGTGTTAAGTCAGTAGCCAACATATCTTGTGCATATACTACATACACTGTTTTCCATGCACTGAGCTTGGAGCTTACAGACATTCGCTCTTCACCATGAAATGGTTACTATCCCCATTTTACAGATGGGGAAGGTCCCGGCGCCTCTTGGGACACAGCAGAACTTGAAGTCAATTGGGATATACTTTCAGGGCGGGTTTCCTTGATGAATTCCTTTTCTGTTAATCAGACTCATAAAACGTTTTCTTGGGGGTGGAGTGGGGGATGGGGAGGATTGATGGTTTTGCTTGCATGTGTGTCATTGCAGTGACAGATACGCTCCAAGTTTGCATGAACTCGGGCATTTTAACATCCCCACGCTCTGCGACCCAGTCAACCTGCAGTGGTTCTTTCTCACCAAAGCCCAGCAGGCGAGAGAGAACATGAAGAGGAAAGACGAGTGAGTACTGTCAGCCCCTGTGAGGTCTTATCGCTCAGTCTAACCTAAAAATTCAGGTATTCAAAATCCACAAGCGAGGGACATTCACTGTGCTTAACTTAGGAGTTGACTGCTTGGAGGATGTTCCCTATTTATTTCTTCCTGTCTTGTTCTGCCAGGGATTGGCTGTGGCTTTTTTTATAATAACCTAGAGTACATTACCATCCTGCTAGAAATGTACGACAATAAAAGAATGGTTAAGTAATCTCCGCACTTGCATACAGTAGAAACAACCATTTAAGAGAATGTTCATTTATTCAACTAATGTTTATGGAGGACCTTGGTGCCCAGCAGGCACTGTGAAGGTCCCTAGCAGGGTACTGTGAAAATAGACAGATGCACCTGTGGCACTCACATTCAGATGTCAGAGGCAGAAAGGTTAAACTTTGTATTAAAAAAAGATAGACACGTCGAAACCAGTTTGGCTCAGTGGTAGAGCGTCAGCCTGCGGACTAAAAGGTCCCGGGTTCGATTCCGGTCAGGGGCATGTACCTTGGTTGCGGGCACATCCCCAGTAGGGGGTGTGCAAGAGGCAGCTGATCAATGACTCTCTCTCACCGATGTTTCTAAAATCAAAAAAGTATATATATATTTTTATATATATTTTATTGATTTTTTACAGAGAGGAAGAGAGAGGGAGAGAGAGTTAGAAACATCGATGAGAGAGAATCATCGACCAGCTGCCTCTTGCACACCCCCTACTGGGGATGTGCCCGCAACCAAGGTACATGCCCCTGACCGGAATCGAACCCGGGACCTTTTAGTCCGCAGGCTGACGCTCTATCCACTGAGCCAAACCGGTTTCGGCTATATTTTTTTTTAAATAGACACAATTTTTGTCAGAGAGAAGGGTCATTCCCCTAGGAAACGTTGAGCCCATTTCTTAGTGCTAGAAGAAAAAAGTGAGAACACCCCCCGCCCCCAGCCATACGCACAATGTCACGATGCTTCCCTGTGGTGCTGTGCCTCCCTTTTTCCTCCTTTTCTCTTTGGGTAGGAGTATAACCAAGCAAAGAAATTACAAGGAGAGGTAAAAAACCATTTTAAAAAATAATTTTAGGTTAATTTGCTTCAGACAGTAGAACCAGCAGCAAGGGCTGCCCTCTCGGGCTCGTTGCCCCTCCAAGACAGTACCCTCAGACTGATGGGCCCTCCTGGTCACCACGGTGTGGCCCCGGGATCTGGGCGACCCTGAGGAGGGAGCAGTGGGAATGCAGGGCCTGCCTAAATGTGTGCAGGGGTGTTGTTGAGACAGACAAGAGGAGAGAGGGATAGAGAGTTAGAAACATCAATGAGGGAGAATCATCGATCAGCTGCCTCCTGCACACCCCCTACTGGGGATGTGCCTGCAACCAAGGTACATGCCCTTGCCCGGAATCAAACCCGGGACCTTTCAGTCCGCAGGGTGTGCATGGCCTCGGGTGCCTGCCATTGTTGTGAGCTTGCTTTTTTTTTTTTAATTCTTTATTCTTGAAACTATTACATACATCTCCTTTTCCCCCTTAGACTCCCTCTCCGCCATGAGTCTGCCTTTTATTTGGTAATAGAAATCATTGCTTACCACCCCAGGGTCAAGCCCAGGGTGTCTACACGCTCAGCTTTCTCTTCCTTCAGTTGCTACTAGTTCTGGGTGAGGCAGGATAAGAGCTTTCTATGTATGTGTTTTACCCCATTCCTGCCACCAAGGTTTCACAGATACTTTTAGAGATCCGAGTGGAAATAACAGGTGTTGCCTGACAGCCACCGGTGATTACTCTCAGCGCACACTTTGGCTGTGGTGGACACCCATTTTCAGTGTTTTGAGTAGAAAGGTATAGCCCTGTAACTAAAACCATATTTATATTTTATGTTCTTTTATTTGCTTGTGGCAATATTTTTTGTTTTTGATATAACAGGTTAAAGGTTATGGAAGATGAGTTGATACAGGCTTCAACCAAGAAATTTTCCCTGGAAAAGTTCTATAAGGAGCCCAGCGTTTCCAGTAAGCAGATGGTGGATTGCTGTAAGAGACTCCTGGGGCAGTCACTGCCCTACTTACAAGGAATGCACCTCTGCGTCTCACACTTTTACTCCGTCATGCAAGACGGAGACCTCTGTATTCCTTGGAATTGGAAAAATGGAGACACCATGAAGTGACACAAATCTGTATTGTTTTTTAAAGAAGTAAGAAGCTGTTAAATTAAACTTATTTAAGTCCACAATTTGCTATAACAGTATTATTTACCTACTACAAGAACAAAGTTTCTGATTGCTGCTTTGAACGTAGACTTATTTTTAAGAATTAATTTCTGCTGGGAAACTTGTATGTAAAAAGGTTTTCACTCCCCATCTTACGATGTTTCGTATCTGATTGGCAAGACTAGGCAAAAGCTGTTTGGATGAAAGAACCTGTTTGTGGTATGTAAGTGTTAAAGATACATATTTTTATATGAGCGAATGTGGGTGAATATGTAACCCAATTCAACATGCATCTTCACAGTCACATCCCAAGTATCAGTACACACATGTATTTGGCAACCAGTGTGGACAGTTGATGTCCAAAACACAAGATTGAGGGGTAGCAAAATCCAGATAATGAAACTTTGCCAAACAGAAAGCATGGAAGGGGGAAAGCCATTGAATGAATATATGGTATTGAACATCTTTGGTGACAGAGAATTTAGTTTTAAACCTGTACGTTTTCCTTCCCATTGAAACAGTGTAATTGTATCATGAAACCCACAGACTGAATTTTTCTGAATCATTTAATGCGGCGACTCATCCATGGCCGTGGAAAACACTACCCAGAAAAATTCTTGTTTCCCAAAGATTCCTAGCAAGTAGGGTCAAGGATAACACTGTCCCAGAAGGGAGATTCTGTCACCCCTCGCTGTTCCCCTGGAGCCACCGCCGGTCCACAGCCATGTGGATGTCGCCGTGGTAACAACCAGCCCTGCCCCGAGGGGCATGGTGTGGCCACTCTAGACAGGGCTTCTCTCTCTGCAGCTACTTCTCTTAGGATGTTCCTAACCAGCTCCAAAGCCTCTTCATTGTTTCTCAAGAGGACAAAGTGAATCTTACTGCAGGAGAAATGAGAGCAATGTTTTTCCACAGTGCATTACAAGGAGAAGGTGTTTAAAACCATTCTTGAAGTATGTTTTAAATTAATCTAGAACACTGGTTATTTAAACTTAAAATTCAAATGTGTATTCAAATGAGTACTGTTTTGTAATTATTCCAGGGTGTGTGTGTCATCCCTTTTAACTTGTGCCTAAGAACTGTACTTACATTTTTTTCTAATGTAACAAATGTTTCCAGAGCCAAATGATGGGATGTTACGTAAGAAAATTTATTGAAAAAATGAGTTTGAATTATACCTTTTGTAAAATCAGTAATATGTTTTGAATTGGACTTTGTCTTGAAATTGTTACATAATAAATGTAAATCAAACCATTGTTTTCTTTTTTATTGTTATTAATAGTTGTTTTGGGGGGGTATTGTTGTTGTTTTTAAATATATTTTGTTGATTTTTTTTTTTACAGAGAGGAAGGGAGAGGGATAGAAAGCCAGAAACATCGATGAGAGAGAGACATTGATCAGCTGCCTCCTGCACACCCCCAACCGGGGACATGCCCGCAACCAAGGTACATGCCCTTAACCGGAATTGAACCCGGGACCTTTCAGTCCGCAGACCGACGCTCTATCCACTGAGCCAAACCGGTTTTGGTTTAGTAGTTTTTTATAACTATTTCAACATAATAGGAAAGGAGAAGAAATTGATGGCCTGTGCATGCCTGTTTGATTTCCTCCCAGTGTAATGAAGAGGAAATTCTGTCCCAGCTCTGAGGACTAGCACAGGATCAGACCCTCTCACTGCAAAGCCTCAGGTCAGAAAGAGGGTCCGGGGAGACCTGAGCTCCACCCCACCCTTCAGAGGGCTCTGACCCATGAACCCAATCCTAGAGTGAGAGAGAGAGACGGTCCGCTTTCTCAGGAGGGCGCTAGAGGGGAGCTGCTCTGTTGGGTGATAGCCTCGGTGGAAACCTGCCCCAGCTGTGGACTCTGAACGCATGCCCTCCACCTACTGCGAGCTTGAGTCTTCTGTTCACACAGACACCCTGTCCTCTGCTGGTCCATCAGCTGCCTGTGCCCGGCTGCTTACCCAGTGGCTGGAGATCCAGGACGCGGGCAACCCAGCCAACTTCACTGCCATCCAGGGGCCACAGCCACACCTTTTCCAATCAGGACTGGAGAGGGGACCCCCTCCCAAGCCTTTTCTTCCATGGGGGCTTCCCCCAGCCCTGGAGTGCCGTGTAGTTTTATTACATCTTACAGTCACTGACCTAAAAGCCTTGGAATTTCCTAGGTAATGGGAGCCTAGGAGGTATTCTGTCATGTTCATGAGGTGACTTTTGTGACACCCCTCCCCCCCCCTAAGAATGGGGGCTGGTTGACAGAGGACCCAACCATGTGCTTAGAGGGTTGGAACTCCCAGTCCCAACCCAGATCCCGGGGACCAGAGAGGAGCTGGAGATTGAAACAATCCCCGATGGTCAATGGCCTCATGAACCCCCATAGGAACCCAAATCAGAGCCTCCGGGCAGGTGACTGGGGTGGGCTAGTGGAGTGCTCACATGGAAGCCCAAGCTCTTAGCCCTTCCCTGCCCCTGGGCACCTGCTCCTCTGGCGGCTCCTGCCCGAGCCATATCCTTTTATACAAGCCAGTGGCCCAAGCAAAAGGTTTCGGAGTCCCGTGAGCCATTATAGCAAATGAACCGAACCCAAGGAGGCCGCCCGGGGAACCTCTGACCTGTTTTGGGGGGAGGGGAGCAGCCAGAAGCTCAGGGAACAGCCTGGCTCCAGCCTGTTCCAGTCTCAGCCAAGGAGGCCTCCTTCTGGCTCCAGCTGGGAACTTGGGAACCAAACACACTGCTGTGACCCCAACATCAGAACCGAATTGTCGAGCCCCAAGGAGCCCAGAGTAAAAGACCACATTGGCTTGGGAGGTAAAGGAATTCTAGGAAACGTTGTGTGTCAAAATCGCAGCTCAATTTATACGGGAGTTTGAAAGCACGTGGCACATTCGCACAAGAGTCCGGCCGAGTCCTGCATGCGTGCCTGCCTCCGGGGCGGTCAGGGGTCCGCCCAGGGGTCCCCCCAGGGCAGGCAGGTGTGCGGGGAGGCGGGTGGCAGCTGCTCTGGCCACCGATGGCTCCGGAAGGCGCTTCAGGGGCGCGGCCAGGCACACGCCCTCGAGTTCAAAAGGAAAACCGGTTGTTCCCAGTGAGGACGTTTTTCAGCTTGCAGGTGTAGGCCCAGAGGACAGAGGGGCAGGGAGGGAAGGCCGCGGCTGGCGGGGGCGGCGCGGGCCCCAGGGGCTGGAATAGGGGCGGAGCGCCCCCTGGTGGTAGGAGCGGAGCCGCCGAGAGCCGCGGGGGGCCCCTGGCTCCAGCTTTCGGCAGCGGGCGGGGCAGGGCGGATGGCAGGGTGTATCCGGCGGCCCTGTGTCTGAGCGGAGCCGTGGAAGGGGACGGCGAGCTGGCCCGGCCCTGGGCCCCGGGGGGAGCCTCCTGGGGCTTCTCCGGAGGAGCTGCGGGCACATCCGCCTCTAGGGGCGGGTAGGTGACTTCTCCGGTGACCTCGTTTACCCAGAAAAACGTGTCCAGAGGTTTCTTCCTCGGTTCAAAGTGATTCGTAGACATAGCTGCAGGGGAGAGCGGGACCCCACAGGTGGCCTTCAGTGGCCCGCAGTGCGGGGCGGGCTCCACCCACAGCCCAGGGCAGGGAGCCTCGCCCTGGGCCTCTGCGAACCCCCTGTGCTCGGCCTGGCGGGGTCACCCTCTCAGGGGCTCCAGAAGTTTCCCAGGACCAACCAGGCGCACCCCTAACTGGAGGCTCCAGGTGAATTCTTTTTAAATCTTAACCAGGTACACTTAAGATATACACTGTAAAAAAAAAAAAAATTAAAAAAAAAATAAAAAAAAATTTAAAAAAAAGATATACACTGTACATCTGGACCTAGTTCAGATGTATATGTGCGTGTGTGTGTGTGTGTGTGTGTGTGTGCACTAGCAATTTCATGGAACATAAACGATTATGTGCAACATTCTCTATGCGGTTTTCCAGACAATGCACTTCGGCTATCTCCCTTAAGATAAAGCTGGTCGCCACTCCTTAAGAAGCGACAATGATGAATGAACTACAGCTGGGAGGAAAAAAACAAAGCAGAATAGCCTTTCTTAGATTAAGAGGAGAATGGAGAATGCTGGATCACCTTACAAAAAAAAAAAAAAAAATCACTCGTGAATTTTACAAAAACATAATCCTGGGTGGTCTGCAGAATGGCCCCCCCCCAAAAAAAAAAAGTGCCCGTGCCCTAATCCTGGGAACCTGTAAATGCGTTTCATTACATGACAAAGGGACTTTCAGATATAATTAAAAGCACAGGTCTTACACGAGGGACATTACTCTGTGTTATCCGGGTGCCCCATTTAACCATTTGGGCCCTGGGAAACAAGAGCTTTCTCTGGCTGGGGTCCGAGAGAGACAGCCAAGGTGAGAGGGATTCTGAGCGTGAGGAGGCCTCAGCCTGCTATTGCTGGCTCCGTGATGGCAGAGGCCAAGTGCAAGCCGCGAGAAGGAAAATTCTCTCCACCAAACCAAGGAGTCTGGCTGGGACTGGGTTCCCCCCAGAGTCCCCGGATAAGAGCTCAGGGGGGACAAAACGCTAGCTTGACGTGTGAGTCCCTAAGCAGAGTCCCACGCCTCGCTTGAGAGACTCAGCACCTACTGCTCTGGGAGATGCGTGGCTCTGGTTCCAAGCAGCTACATTGGTGGCCCTGAGTCGCAGCAGCGCCAGGAAACTCACCCAGCACGTGAACACCTTCCCAGGCCCAGGCCCAGACAGGGCTGGAAGCTGCAGCTTCCTGAGCTCAGGGGAAGCCCACCTCAGTGTGGGCCGAGCGGCAGGTCTGGGGGACTCGTCCTACTTCCTGTCATGCTTGGTACTTCCCCTTCTTTATTATACAACAGACAGTGACTGTCCCCCCTGAGAAATGTCAAGGCACACTACCAAAACGATAGACTAGGTCCGTGGTCGGCAAACTGCGGCTCGCGAGCCATGTGCGGCTCTTTGGCCCCTGAGTGTGGCTCTTCCACAAAATACCCACGGCCTGGGCGAGTCTATTTTGAAGAAGTGGCGATAGAAGAAGTTTAAATTTTAAAAATGTAGCTCTCCAAAGAAATGTCAATCGTTGTAATGTTGGTATTTGGCTCTGTGGACTAATGAGTTTGCCGACCCCTGAGCTAGGTCAACCATCTTCAAGGTCCTGACACCTGCATCCCACGAGAAGCTCCGATTTGCCCCAGGCAGAGAGGGTCTGCCCACTCTCCCCTGATGGTCCCCAAGGCCATGGGCAAGTCAGCATATCCTTCCGGGATGCCCAGAATCGGGTGGCTAAAAGCAAGGGCAGAGTGGGCTCAGCCGATGGCCTGGCCTTGGGGGACTGGAAAGGCATGAGGAGTTTGAAGCTCACCCGTCTGAAAGGTCTGGAGTGGAGGATTCATTGGTGGGAGCTTCAGAGAGGAGGGGGAGCCTTAGAAGACTGGGGGCTCCTAGCAACCTGACCATTATTGTGTCAGGCGCACCCCAGCCTATCCCAGCCTGGATTCTGCCCGCTGCAGAAGCAGTGCGGGCTCCGAGCATGGGGCTTAGCCACGGAACATGCCCCCGGCTCAACGTGGCCAGGGCGAACCGGGTTTTCCAAAATTCCATTCTCTGTGTTCTTTCCGATGTTTACGTTCTGTAAGCTTTAAAGGGCCAGGAGACATCCTCATGGGATTTGTTGGCTCACATGGTAACTCTGTTTAACTGCCAGAATATTTTCCCAAGTGGCTACTTGGAGTCTTAGATAATTCTCAGACTCTTCTTGGGGCCTTTAAGTCTGAGTTCACTGCAGCAAATTAATTTTGCGTTCAACAGCTATTCATTACCAGGTCAGTGGGTAAAACCAACGGCTTCTGTCAGACCTTACACCTTTACGTTGTCCAGAATTTAATACACGTAATTCCCTGACCATATAGTATTGGTCTTAAAAGTCAAACATCCTAGGAATTTTTTAAAATAAAATGATTCAGAAAAGTGGTGCCAGGTTTATTTTTTCTATTTTTTTTTTTTATAAATATATTTTATTGATTTTTTTACGGAGAGGAAGAGAGAGGGATAGAGAGTTAGAAACATCGATGAGAGAGAACCATCCATCAGCTGCCTCTTGCACACCCCCTACTGGGGATGTGCCCGGAACCAACGTATATGCCTTTGACTGGAATTGAACCTGGAACCCTTCAGTCCGCAGGCCAACACTCTATCCACTGAGCCAAACTGGTTTTGGCAATTCCCTGAACATATATTATTGGTCTCAAAAGTCAAACACCCTAGGAATTTTTTTTAATAAAATGATTCAGGAAAGTGGTGCCAGGTTTATTAACTGATCGGTTTCACACCCACCCTTCTACGGATGCCTAGTGGTGGGAACTCTCCGATCCACCCCTCTGCTTTGCCGGCTGGCTCCCTGGCCACCGGGGAGCTTAAGAAGGAGGCGGCAGTGCCGGAGGAGTGGAATGGTCAATTGTGTGTGCCCACTCCCCTGGCCAGGGTACGAAGGAAAGACTGAGCTGCTGGGCCTGGGCCATCAAGAGGTTTGTGCTGAAACCTGTTTGGCTCAGTGGATAAAGCATTGTCCTGCAGACTGAGGGTCCCAGGTTCGATTCCTGTCAGGGGCATGTACCTTGGTTGTGGGCACATCCCTGGTGAGGGTTGTGCAGGAGGCAGCTGATCAATGTTTCTCTCTCATCGATGTTTCTAACTATCTCTCTCCCTTTCTCTCTCTCTCTAAAAAAAAAAAAAAAAAAAAAAAAAAAAAAAAAAAAAAAAAGGGGGTTTGTGTGCATCCCAGCCCCCTTCCCGCCCAGAGGTGCCTGATGTCTGCCTGACACTAACCAGCACCCCTCCCCTGCCTCCTGGAATGTGCTGCGTCGAGAGAACATCCCAGTTGTCCTGACCTGGTCAAGCATGTAAGGCCATGTCCCGCTCCTGGAAACAGTCACTTACCCGTTTATGTGACTATTCCCTGCTCCTCCCCTCCCCCTCCTCCTCTCCCTCCTTCTTCCTCCCCTCTCCCCAGGATGCCTCCCCATTCTCCTTCTGCCTTTTTTACTTAGATATATCTAGTGAACAATTCTTCTTTTTACAATATAAATTTATTTTAAATCCTCACTTGAGGCTATTTTTCCATTTATTTTTAGAGAGAGTAGAAGACAGCAGGAAAGACAGAAATGCTGATGTGAAAGAAACACCTCAATTGGTTGCTTCCTGCAGACACCCTGACCAGGGCCTGGGCCAGGGAGGAGCCTGCAACCGAGGTTTGGGCCTTTGACCGGCAATGAACCCAGGTCCCTTCAGACAGCAAGCTGACGTTCTATCCACTGAGCCAAACCGGCCAGGGCTAGTGAGAAATTCTTTATAAAGTTCTTATTAAAACAACTGGCATGGTTTCTAGAACCTGGCTGATGCAAAACCTTTCCTCGTGGCAGGGTCGGCATGAACTTAAAAAGCTGTGGTGGCTGGTATGTGAGTGCTTATGACCCTCCTCACCTACCTAAAAAGTGGGCTGAACGACCAAGCACCTCCGTCCACAGATCCCATTTCATCTTTAAACTTGAGCCTAGCTTCTGACCAGACTTGTTCTTACCGGGCAAGGAGGAGCTAAAGGAGACGGGGCCTGTGATTTCTGCAAACCGCACGTCTGGGAGGTCACGTGTCAACACGTGGAGAACACCCTCACCGGCAGCTGTCTGCAGGTGTTCCTTCCCCAGGAGCAGCGCCGTTAGCCACTCCTTCCCGAGGGGCCGTCTGTGTCGCTCCCGGTTTGGCAGGCGAGGAACTTGAGACCTGGAGCGATTGAGGGATGCGTCCTGAGTACGACCCCAGAGAGGGCAGAGCCGGGATTTCCGTACGTCAGAAAATGTCAGAGCCCATGCTTAAAAACGTTTTATTTTTAAGGGTTTTAAGCAGACAGTTCAAAAAGAACCCTCTGCACTATGGTATTTAATCCACATGCTACCACAGGTCCATCGATTCTAAAAAGAAAGAAAACACAAGGGAAGCCTCCAGGTACCAATTTCATCAGCAACTCAGACTTTCCACATCCTTCCAATCCGTGACTTTAAACTCTGCGTTCATATAATTTGCATTCACAGGAAACACACTGTGCAAAACAGTGACAACACAGGTTTACTATATGCCAGCAATGGTCCCGGGCCAGCCGCTGTTCTAATCACTTTACTTACGTCATTTCATTAGCCACCCCCAACCCTGTGAGGCTGGCACAAATATTTCATTTTACAGAAAAAGTGAAACACAGACATTTAAGTAATCGACCCACAGACAGTGTTGAATTTTACAGAAACGGTACTTTGTACCTTCACCAGTTTCTCAGCGCCATGTTTTATTTATCTGTGAAAGAGGCAACTGCAGCTCTTTCATATTCACTTCCCAAAATGCCAAAACCACCCACTGATTTCTCTGTTCTGCTGCTGACGGGAACTTAGGCTTTTCCCAATCCTGCTATCTCACCGATACTGCAAAGAACACTACTGCAGTGCAGTCTTACATGCATCTCCGTGTCACAAGGAGTTGCTCTGTGGTAGGTGGATCCAGGAGCAGATTCACTAGGTGACCGAGAACACACAACTTTACAAGCTTTTGCACAACAGTCATCACAGTTTTTGCTGCCACAGCAGTGAGTGCCCGGGGTCCACACACCCACATTTTAAGAATTTGCCACCTTGGTAAGTGTGGGATGGTCCGTATTCATTCACATTCTTTTGCTTTCTTCTCTGTACGTGTCTCTGGGGGCTGACCCTGGACAGCTGACTGGAAGACCTTCTGGTGCCCACCTGGCCCTCTTCAGCCCCAACGTCAGGTCTTGAGGAGTGAGAGAAGGCAGGCGGGGTGGGAAAAGGGGTGTTCTTCAGGCCACAGTGGGCTGCGAGAGGAATACTGTGGCTGGGGCAGCCGGAAACTGCTCACCGGTGCTCGGAATCACGCGAGGCTGGGCTCCTAATTACAGGAGTGGCCTTGTGGGTGGCCTCCAGGCAACGTTTCACTCACGGACCCTTTCAAAGAACTCAATCATGACTCAGCTAAACTAAATTCAGCTCTCTCCTCCTCAACAGAGGCAGCTTTGTGCAAAATCCGTGTGTGGCAAACAGATAAGCAAGCACTCAGCCCTGGCCTCAGACTGGCTGAGGTGGTGGGCATAACTTCAGCAAATCCAAACAGCACCTAACGCAGCACGATACAGAGACCAGGAGAGGCGGGGCAGGGAGAGGGCTTCAAGGGACAAGGGTCAGGGGAAGCTGGAGGGGTGAGATCCAGAGCCAGCATGGACGGGTGCAGGGGCAGGGAGACGGCATACAGCAGTGTGCAGAAGTCAGAGCTGCAATCGCAATGGCTTACACGGGCTGCGAGCTGCCGGTCTCACAGAATATTCAGATAGTTGATGGGGCGGATAGGGAGGGGGTGGGGGGGCACTCACAGAAACAGGCAGCAGGGATAACGGCGTAAAAAATCTTCAGCTCCCACATTTTACTGAGTCCTTAGGTCTGTGGTTAACTCTTGGAAAATGTAATTCACATTCAGACCACTTCACTTCTAAACCCAAAGCATCCAAAAGCATTCGGCAGGCGTGGCTCGGAGGCCGAGCGTTGTCCCACGCACCAAGAGGTCACTGATTTCCCGCCGGGGCACCCGCCTGGGTTGTGGCTTGATCCCTGATGGGGGGCTTGCAGGAGGCTTTTCTCTCATCCATGACGCTTTTCTCTCATCCATGTTTCTATCTCCTCCCTCTCCCTTTCTCTCTGGAGTCTCTCCGGAAGGTCCCCAAAGAGCATCTCCTTTCCCGGCGGGTAAAACGAGGGGCATCGGGGTGTTTCCATCCTCGGGATCCTCTGCGACCAGCTTCCAGGATGAAAAGGGCCGGGCCTTCTGGGCACCTTTACCCGCAGCGCCTCCCTCTGAGGTCCCCCAGGATCCCTCCGCCGGGGGCCCCACGCTAATCGCCGACGTGGCCTTTCGTGTGCCTGGCCAGGTTGGAGGCCCAGCGGAAGGTCTTCCCGCACCGGGTGCACTGGAAGGGCCGCTCGCGGGTGTGGAAGCGCCGGTGGCTGATGAGCTGGGAGATCTTGCCGAAGGCCTTCCCGCACGTGCCGCACTCGTGGCGCTTCTTGGCCTCGGAGCAGTCCTGGGGGGCGCCGGGCCCGGAGGCCCGCTCCCCGCCCCAGGCCAGCGCCTGCAGGCTCAGCCCGCTGTCCCCCGGGGAGGACGGCCCGGCCGGGCTGCCTTCCGCCGGCGCCGGTGCCGCGCGGGGCTGCCTCCTCTGGCGGACGCAGAGGCTGTGCGTGGCCAGGAAGTCCTTCCCGCACTTGTCCTGCGCGTGGGTCCTCTGGTGGTTCAGCAGGCGGTACTTGCGATCGAAGGACTTCTCGCACAGGCTGCACTTGTAGCGCCTCTCCCCGCTGTGGATCCCCTCGTGGTCCAAGAGGCTCCTTTTCCGGGTGAAGCTCTTCCCGCACTCCTGGCAGCGGAAGGCCTTCCTCTCGGCCTCCAGGGCCTGGGCCTGCGCGATCGAGGTGTAGTAGGCGATGCGCTTGCCCAGCGAGTGGCTCCTCTGGTGGCGGGAGAGGTTGGAGCTCCACCGGAACGCCTTCCCGCAGTCCCTGCACTGGTACGGCCTCTCCCTGGTGTGCACCCGCTGGTGGATGCAGAGGAAGGAGTGGTTCTGGAAGCCTTTCCCGCACTGGCCGCACCGGAAGGGCCTGTCGGAGGCCGGGCTGCCCGGAGGGGCTTGGGGCGCCGGGTCCTGGCTGCCGGGGGCTGGGTCCTCGGGGCTCCCGTCCGGGGCCCGCTGCCTCCTCCGCACGATCAGCTTGGGCCTGTGCGTGACCTCCTTCCCGCCTTCCCCGCCCGGGCCCGGCTCCTCGCCCGCGTCGGGGCTCTGGTGGGTCGGGAGAGCTTTCTGCCCGGTGAACGGCTGCCCACACGGCTGGCCCGGGAACGCCCCCTCCGCGGGCGGCTCGCTCTGGGGCTGGCTGCGGCCCGGGGCCTCCCTCGGGCCTCCGCTGCCCCGGTCTGCGGGGTGGCAGAGCTTCTCCTCCTGGTGCATCCTCAGGTGCCGGGAGAAGTTGGAGCTCCACCGGAAGGCCTTCCTGCACTCGGGACATTTGTAGGGCTTCTCCTGGGTGTGGATCCTCTGGTGCTGGAGGATATAGGACTTGCAGCGGAACGACTTCCTGCACTGGCTGCAGTCGAAGCGCTTCTCCCCGCTCCGCTCCTGCACGTGGCGGCCCAGCCAGGGGCCGCAGGCGAGCGCCTCCTGGCACCGCCTGGCTTTGAGGTACAGCTGGTTGGCGTGGGACTCCTGGTGCAGGTGGTAGGCGTACAGGCGCTGGAACGCCTTGCCGCACAGGCTGCACTTGTAAGGCTTCAGGCCGGTGTGGATCCGCTCGTGCCGCGCACGGTTGGAGCTCCACCGGAAGGCCCTCCCGCACACCCGGCATTTGAACGGCTTCTCCTTGGTGTGAAGTCTCCGGTGGCATTCGAGGTAGGAGCTGCGGCTGAAGGTCCTGCCACACTCGGCGCACCCGTAGAAAGCCCCCGCCGGGCTGAGGCCCGAGTCCTCCCCCCGCGCCTCCTCCGAGGGGGCGATCCGGCCGGCGTGGAGCCTCTGGTGCAGGTTAAACCCGCTGAGCGTGAGCCTCAGGCCTTTCCCGAACTCCTTGTGGTCACAGCGGTACGAGCTGCCTCTGAAGTGCCGGCCGCGGCCGTGCTTCTTTCTTCTCCTGGGGACTCGGAAAAACACCGCGTGTCTGAGGCTGACACCGTTACCGCCTGCCGAGTCTTCCGGTTCCTTTCCCGTGCTGCCACCGAGACCGGCCTCTCTTCTCTTGGCGCCCACGTGTGTGGGACCGCCACTTCCCTTCTGCGGTGGGCTCTTCTGTTCCACGGGCTCTCGGGGCCCCGTCTCCTCAGAAACACTCATCACACGGCATCCTGAGGACACGGCTAAGGCCTGAGCTTCTTCCAAAGGCTTGGAGTTCAAGATGAGCTTGCTGGATCTGATCTGGAGCTCCCCTCCTGACGCAAAACAGAACACAGGAGAATGCACTCCTTTCCCATACTTGGAAAAGCACCGAGGGACAAAAAGGGGCCACAAATATGGGTGGTGTGGACTGTGCCTGACCGCCAATCCGTCTACGAAACAGTCCCACACGGCAAGGCAAAGTGGAGGGGCATCATCCCAGACCACAGGGGGGGGAGGAGAAGCAAGATGCGCACAGGAGCCAGACGTGCGCAGAACTCACATCCAGTAAAAAAAAAAAAAAAAAAAAAACGGAAAGGGTTGAGAGGCAAGTGTTAATGGCAGGAGGGGAGAGGACCCACAGCACAAGACAGAGCCGAGGGTGGGGCTCGGAGGAGAGCCGGCTGAAAGGTCTGGGGAGCAAGCCTACCACAGGGGAGGACGGAGCAGAGAGGAGGAGCAGGAGTGGAACGAGGGCTCCTCAGAGCAGGAAGGGGGAGGCACTGGGATTCAACAGGAGTTGAACGGAAATGAGAAGGAATGGTGAGACCCTCCGGTGGGCAATAATGAAAGGGCTTCTGGGAAAGGGTCACGACCGGAAATGAATGTCTAATAGGCCAGTCTGGAGGGAAGAAGCCTGGGGCCCGGCACCCCTGAGCAACAGTGCTGAGGGTTTCCCTTCCAGCAAACAATGGAGTAGGTTCCCCATGGCTGACTTGGTGTGAAAGGTCGTAGGAAAGAGGACAGATGCCGGAGGAGCAGGATCTGGAAGGTTCTCTGGAACTCACCTGCCGGGGCAGCACCTGGCTTCGCCTTAGGCTGGGCTCTCTGGACATTCAGGCCCCACGGCTCCCTTGCCTCCAACCAAGAGATCAGAGCAGGTTTGTCGAGTGGCCCCACTGCAGAGGGGGGAGGGGGGAGTGCGGGATGGAAGGTAGATGAGTCACGCAGAACGAGTCTCAAAGGCCCTCACAGGCCTGGCGTTGGGGGAGGGGGAAGGGAGAGGCAGGTGGAGGAAGCTAAGGCAGGAGACCCAGCCAGCCATCTCCAACAAGGGAGGCTGAGAGAAATCACAGCCCTGAGGATCACCAGGATTCTCTGGGAACCACAGGACAATTCAGCTAACGTATTTCAGATGCCTAAACGGAGTAGGAACCTGACACATATCTTTAATCTTTGCAATAACCCAGCATACCAGGCATTCTTATCCTGTTTTTCCAGAGGAGAGACTGGGTGACAGACTCGGTGACTTGGTCAGCAGTTACAGAGCTGGCTGCACCATCGTGACAACTTAAGAAGCAGCAGTGGAGGTGGGCAGAGCGTGGGGACCGCAATGCCTTACCCAGGGAAGCCAAGGTCCCGTAGTTTTCCAGCATCACATCCCGGTAGAGGTTCCTCTGAGCAGGGCTCAGCCACCCCCACTCATCCTGGGAGAAGGTCACCTCCACGTCCTTGAAAGTCAGAGCCTCCTAAGAAACAGAGCTGCCCCTCAGAGCCAGCCCACAGAGCGGGCTTTCGGGGAGCGGCGGGGGAGCGGGCCGGCCTCGAGTGAGAACAGGAGGGGCTGGTCAGGGGGAAGAGGAAGGCCGTCACCCGGCAGAAGAGCCTTGGCCTCGAGGTCTGGCCTCTGGGACGGTGTGGTCACCGACAGGGACGCAAGACAAGGGGGGGCCGCAGCTACTCTGTCGGGTGCGGACACTGGGATGGCACGAAGGACAGCCGGTCCTGGGCTCACCTGAGGCTGGTCTCCTGGGCAGCCCTCTTCCCGGGGAAGGGCAGGCGCCTGGGCAGCGGGAGTATCTGAAGAAGAAAGAGCCATGAGACAGGGCCGCCCGCCCTGCCCCCCACGGGCAGGCGCGGACGGCTGTGACCCATCTCGCCTTCCCCGGCGTCTGCAGGAGGCCAGGGAATGAGACGGAGGCCAGGGAATGAGACGGAGGCCAGGGAATGAGACGCGAGGGCAGGGCAAACAGTGGGAGGAGGAGCCCGGCTAACACGGGTCACAGGAGAGGCAGAAAAGACACAGAGCGAACGAATAACAAACAAACAAAACGACAGCAGTAAAACAAAGAAAGGAGAGGAAAAAAGAGAAGAGACAGAGCCAAGGGCCAGGACAGAAAGGGGCTGTCGTGAGAGGGCAGATGGCGAAAGGAGGGCACCACAGGAAGTGTGGGGAGTGTGGCTCTGGGCCGGGTGGGGTCTCAGTGCCAGGCAGGGAGTACCGGATGGCCCAGCCGGGAGGTCACGCACGCCTGTTTCATGGGAAGGCTCCAGGCGGTGCCCCGGGGCAGAGCCGCTCGTGGGAGGTGAAGCAGAGGGCCATTTCTGGGCGGCTCGTAGGGCTCCTGTGCCCATCCACTGTACATCTGGGCTCTGGGCAGGGGCTGGGTCCTGGCAAGAAGAAAACAGGAGAGGACCCCGATGGGAATTAGAAAACAACTCATAGAGAGGAAGCCACGCAGCCAATCTCAGAGGCCAGAGGAGGGTGAGCTGGCCCCTTTACCACCTGCGGGCAGAGGAAGAGGAGGAGAAAGGCCAGGCAGGACCCTTCACCCCTCAGCACCCCTGGGCTCTAGTGTGGGCCAGGGGGTGCCAGGTGGAGCCAGAAAGCAGCAGGTTGGGGGGGAATTAAGAGGGAGGGATAGCTGTAATCCTCTTAACAATAAAGATATAAAAAAGGAGGAAGAAAGTAGCTGGCAAGTCAGTAACAGCTTTGTAGTCAGGCCTCAGCCCCCACCTCTGGCCTGGAACTCAGAAACGGAAGTCCCGTATCCCTGAGAGCTGAACTGATGATTCGCAGGAGATGCCGGTGCATAATGTCTACCAAGCACAGGGCGCTGCCCTAGGCGCTTCTATGCAAAGGGGCCCCCAAGAGGCGGACGGCTCCCAGCCTGGAAACCTGAGGAAGTACTAGTAACAGTGAGAGAGGCAGAGCTAGCTGCGAGGGGCAGCCATGGAGCCACAGAAGGAAAAGTCCCGGGTGCAAACCATGCCAGTGCCTCCCACATAGAATAAGGCAGCCTTTGCCTTGGGCTTCAGTGGCTCTGGGGTCTGAAGCAAGGCTGTCCCTGGTGTAAAAATGAGGACAGAAAACCACAGCCCTGGTGTAAAAATGTCCCTGGTGTAAAAATGAGGACAGAAAACCACCTCCAGTTTTTGGGTCCCATGGCCAACACATTCTCTACACTGACACGGACGGAACTTGAGCTGAGGCCATTAAACATCTGATAGTGATCTACAGACTAAAGATGATCAACTGTCACAGTAATTTATCTCCTAGTCCGACAAACCCCCTCAAAGGAAGGATAAAGAGACAGGAAGACTATGGAGGCACAGCCAAATGAGTTTGAGGATAAACTTTTGCAGTCCCCATCCCTCACCGCTTCCCCTCACCCTAAGTTTCTCACATATTGGTCATTTGGATGAACCCACAATGGCACTGCAACTCTGTATGCATCGTGAGCATTTCTGTTATTTTTCAGAATCTGAGAGGCTTTGTCCCCATCTGTTTTATGTTTTCTAATTTCTAACTGTTTCTGACCAGGTAGGCCCACTCTGCTCATTTGGCAATGTTTTCATGGGTTGTAAAACCTCACATCCACACCTAAATGAGTTGAATACAACCAAGCCACAATTTTACACCTGCTCTGTACCTTATTTGCTCTAATAAATCACTTTTTGATCCTTTTGATCTCATTATTTTAGTAAAAAGAATAGCTGCTCTTTTAGATTTTTAAAAAATAGGATCCAATATTGAGCAAAGAGGTTTTCTTTTGTAATAGTCACACCTTGAGTTGCTGTATTACCATTCACGGCTGTTAGACCACGTTCAGATGTGTTAGTCAACTGGTTTTGCCTTTTTTTTTTTTTTTTATGTTTTATTGATGGTTTACAGAGAGGAAGGGAGAAGGAGAGAGTTAGAAACATTGATGAGAGAGAAACATCAATCAGCTGCCTCCTGTGCAACCCCCACTGGAGATGTGCCTGCAACCAAGGTACTTGCCCTTGACTGGAATCGAACCTGGCTGATGCTCTATCCACTGAGCCAAACCTGCCAGAGCTTTCTCTTTTTTATTTTATTTTAAAATGTTTTATGGTTTAACTTTATATTAAATTTGGGGGAGAAGTATGTCAAATATGTGTCAAAAATCTTGAAAGTTGCCGAAACCGGTTTGGCTAAGTGGTAGAGCGTTGGCCTGCGGACTGAAAGGTCCCGGGTTCGATTCCGGTCAAGGGCATGTACCTTGATTGCGGGCACATCCCCATATGGGGTGTGCAAGAGGCAGCTGATCGATGATTCTCTCTCATCGATGTTTCTAACTCTTTATCCTTCTCTCTTCCTCTCTGTAAAAAAATCAATAAAATATATGTTTTTTTAAAAATACATACCGAGGAGCAATTTCTCACTGTTAGATCAGTTTTGCATTTCCTTTTCAATAACTGGAGCTCTGAAAGGAACAACAATGTGGGCAAGAACACTGAGGTTGTAGGATGCCTCCTCCCTGCAGAGCCAACCCTCCAAGGCTTATTGAGCAAAGAGCACATGGCACATGCAGGCTGCTCTTCTAGGCTTAGCATGTCCTGAGAGGCCACGAGTCCAGACTCTACTCCTCTCCTTACAAGTTAGAGACATCACCCCCTCTGAACAGGTCAGCATAAGACCAGTTAGACAATAGGTGGAGATGGACTCTGTATACTCTAAGTTAGTGTTTCCCAAACTTTTGACATACGTCTACCCCTTCTATAATTTTCGTAATGCTGAGTACCCCTTGTACGCATGAGAACGTAGAATTAGGCGCAGCTAAGCACGGTGCAGTGCATATCCCCACCAAACTCTTCCCGTACCCCTGGGGGTACGCGTACCGCACTTTGGGAAATACTGCTCTAAGTCATTGTGTCCAAAATATGTTACTGTTTTATGGATACTCTTCCTGCAGCTGATCGTCCCCCTCTGGGAAGGCAGGAAGGGCTGCCTGCTATAAGGTCCTTGGCTTAGGGCCGTGGTCGGCAAACTGTGGCTCACGAGCCACATGTGGCTCTTTGGTCCCTTGAGTGTGACTCTTCCACAAAATACCACGGCCTGGGCGAGTCTATGTTGATGAAGTGGCGTTAGAAGAAGTTTAAGTTTAAAAAATGTGGCTCTCCAAAGAAATGTCCATCGTTGTCCTGTTGATATTTGGCCCTGTTGACTAATGAGTTTGCCGACCACTGGCTTAGGGTATAGTTCTCAGCTGCTCACGTGCCACGGGAACTAGAAGGGAAGACTCCCCCTGCATTCCTCAAGGCTGAAGGTTCAGAGGCCAACCCTACCCCCAAGCAAGCTGGCTCCCCGGCAGGCAGAGTTCACTGGGCACTGCACACGCGCTCAACTCACCGTCCACGGTGCCCCCCTGAGGTCTCTGCACAGCTCCTCCAGCAGGGCCGCCGCCTTCCCGCCGCTCTCGGGGCGGTGCAGCAGCACCCAGGTGCGGAGCTCGCCGGGCAGGATGCTCAGGAACTGCTCCAGCACCAGCAGCTCCAGGATCTGGGCCTTGGAGAGCACGTCGGGCCTCAGCCACCAGCGGCAGAGCTCCCGGAGCCGGCTCAGGGTCTCCAGGGGCCCGGGAGACTCGTGGTAGCGAAGCTGCCTGAAGAGCTGGCGGAACAGCTCCTGGCCAGCAAGGTTGAGTGTCTGGGGCCTAGGAGCCTGCACCGCAGCGTAGCCTTCATCCTCTTCCTCCTTCTTCACCAGCTGAAGGCGTGCTCGCTCCCTGGAAGCCCGGGCCTGCGCTGGATGGACGGCATACCACCTGCCCGGAGGCATCGCTCCTGCTCAGGCGTCCGCAGCAAGAGTGCAAGCCAAGCCTGTCAGCCGTGCCGCTGCCGGGACGCTGGGAGTGTCTTTTCGGCACCGTAGTGGACAATGCCATTTGCTGGGACATCAGACGTCACTGGCAAGAGAATGAAATAACCAGTATTAGTGTCCAGGAGGAATGTGAGAAGGATGGTGGAGCTGGATCCTGTTCGTTCGTTCGGATCATCTTGGATGTATGAGAAGAGGGCACGTGAGCATCTGCGCAGTGGTGCCTGCAAGTGTCAAGGACGGCTGGATTGTCACACTTTGGGGTAAACTGAGAAAATACCCCAGAATCCAGTAAAATATGTACAGGGCCTTATCATATATATACACATTAAAAAAGATCTCAACTCAATAGCCTAACTTTCCACCTTGAGATACTGGAAAGAAGAACAAACTAAACCTAAAGCAAGCAGAAGAAATGAAATAATCCAAGAATAGAAACGGAGATTAGGAAAAGAGAAAAATCAATCAAATTGAAAGTTGGTTCACTGAAAAGATCAACGAAATTGATAAAGCATAAGCTAGCCTGACAAAGAAAAAGAGAAGACTCAGCCAAAACTGATTTGGCTAAGTGGATAGAGCGTCTGCCTGCGGACTGAAGGGTCCCAGGTTCGATTCCGGTCAAGGGCATGTACCTTGGTTGCGGGCACATCCCCAATGGGGGTGTGCAGGAGGCAGCTGGTCGATGTATCTCTCTCGTTGATGTTTCTAGCTCTATCCCTTTCTCTTCCTCTCTGTAAAAAATCAATAAAATATGTTTTTTTTTTAAAAGAAAGAAAAAGAGAAGACTCAGATTACATACATCAGAAATGAAAATTACATACATCAGAAATTACTGACTTTACAAAAAGAAAAAGACTTTAAAATGGTATTCTTGCAAACAAATATTTTAGATGAAGTTGACAAACTATTATAAAACACAAACTAATAAAATTGACTCTCGAAGAAACAGAAATTTTGACTAGATCTGTAAGAAGTGAAGACACTGAACGGGTAGTCAAAAACTGCCCACCCAGAAAAGCCGAGGCCCAGAAGGCATCACTGCTGAAGTCTACCAACTATTTAAAGAAAAACAATACCAATTCTTCACAAACTCTTCAAAAAATAGAACAGGAGAAGACATTTCCCAATTCATTTTACGACAGTTCAAAAGGTCCTACTAACCCGTAAGCATCAACATAATTGTTTTCTGTTCCCGAGAGGGTCGGGCTGTGTGTCCGAGGTTAAAAAGCAAGCCAGTGTCACCCACGAAGAGACCAGACAATGACACTAAGTGGTTGAGCACAGAAAACAAACACCAGGCATAGGGGGTGAGTGTTTACTTACAGCAAGAAAAGAAGAGAGCACCAAAACCCCCTTCCTGCTGGCACCACCATAACCGCGCCTTGGCTTCTGCGCTCTCGCTAGCTTCTTGAACCAGCCAACCGCTCAAACTGCAACAGGTCTGGGAAGTCCCCAGGCGACCCGGGCGCTGAGTCCGTATGAAACGCGGGCAGAACCTGAGGCGTGCTCAGCCTCTGCAGGCGGCGACTCCACGGGGCCAGCACCGGTGCAGAATACACGGATTTTCCTGATCCTCTGAGTGCGTGCCGTTTGCTCTTCCCAGCCTACCAAATTCCTGCGGTAACACTGCTAGATCCACAGAAATCACTGTGACGGAGACAGGAAGAACACTCACCCAGAAAGCACGTATCTTCCAGCGACTAGAAATCCCAGCCCTGCTCCAGGCAGGATCCAGGTAAAGAACCGCGTTAAGGGTCATGCGTGCTGAGGAGGCTGCTGAAGTTTCAGCTTTGGAAAAAGAGGGATGGGACAGGGTTAGGAGTATTTGGAGACAACAAGAGGAAAACATGAACAGAAGGCCTAGCAAAGGAGACCTGAAGACACCACAGCAAAGGCAGGCAGGGAGGGAAGGGCACTTCGGGAGCCTGTGTGGCCAGGCTCCATCCAGCCTTGCTGAGCTCCAGCAGCACAAACAGGGAGCAGAAACACTGCTCAGAGGAAGCTGGAGGTCAGGGAGGAGGAGGAGAGTGGCTTTCCCGTCCAAACTAGCAGAACAGACTGGAAAGTGCACGAAAACTGAAGAATGAAAACACCAATGTAAGGTTGCGTAAAACCAGAACACAACATTTTATGGCGGCTTTAAAACAAGGCTAGGCCCCAAGGGAGGTTTCGTTCCTTAGGTATTAATCACCAGCCTGACCGCTGGGGAATGGCCTTCGGGGACAGGCCAGCCTGACCGCTGGGGAATGACCTACAGGATCCCACCACCCCAGAGATACCGCGATGGCAAAAGAGGACTTACTCAAGGGAACGGGGAGGAGGGGGAGCTTACATAGCTGGGTTAGAGTATAAAACTTGGAAAGAAACTTAGAGCAGGGTCCGAGTGAGGAACGGGTGAGTGCCACTGCGCGGTGCCCAGGCTCGGACCCTAGCTCGAGCTAGAATAAAGACTTTCTGCCTTTGCATCGAACTTGGCTCCCTGGTGGTCTGAGGGTCCCAGAATCTACCGGGCACAACACCAAGAGTGAGGCTGAGGGTGAAGAGAAACCTGGCAGGGAGGCTAAAGACAATGAACTGGGGGCCAGACAAACAGTTTGAAGACATGCAAGCAGTAGGAAATATACACGGTAATGACCCAACTCAGGGAATTGAGACCCACAGTGAAATTAGCGCCAAAAAGAAGCCTCCAGGCTGGCCTGTTCTAAGGAGCTGTGCAGAAATGGCCGAAGACATAGTGGAGTGTTTGTAAAAAGCTGGTGAGAAAACTGGCCAACAGGAAAGTGAGGGTGACTGCCTGATAACATGTCAAAGGATTCCAGGTCTTCAAAGAAGGGGCGGGGGGAGGGGGGCAGCTTCCACCGCCCTGAACTTGGGTAAAGCTAAAGATAAAGGCCCGGGAGTGGGCCTTTCACACTCTGAATGGAAGACCCAGAGCACAGGAAGCTGTGGGGCCAGTGAACTGAGCCAGCAGTGAAATTCAGGAATCCTGAGGCCACAGGATGACTCATGTCCCAACTAGCCTTGAGGACAGCAGAAAAGCTCCATGCATCAACTTGTTAACATTCTACCACCGATGTGAGCCCCCAGGGCGGAGGAGGCCCCTTCTCAGCAAGAGCTATGCCCTAACCCACACCATTCCCACAATGAGAGGAAGTGGCTTTGAAAAGCACAGGGGAGACCCCATCTGGCCATTTTTCGGGGACATTTTCTTTTTGTCATTTTGCTCCTTCAACTCATGTGCAATGTAATTTTGTTTGTTTTCCTTTAGAAATCCTGATTAAGTAGTCTCTTGAACACTCAAGTTTTTCTCACCCATGTGAGGGTACAAAGGTTTACTCCATACAGGGACAATAAGTGTCATAGTAATAGGGATGATGAAAGGAAATAAGTAGAGAGTGCTACAATGTGATAGCAATAGAAAACAATTAAAGAGGATTATAGGAGCCGAAACCTGTGTGGCTCAGTGGATAGAGCTTTGGCCTGCGGACTGACAGGTCCCAGGTTCAATTCCGGTCAAGGGCATGTACCTTGGTTGCAGGCACATCCCCAGTAGGGGGTGTGCAAGAGGCAACTGATCAATGATTCTCTTTCATCGATGTTTCTAACTCTCTATCCCTCTCTCTTCCTCTCTATAAAAAAATCAATAAAATATATATATTTTTTAAAAAGAGTATTATAGGAAATGTAGAAAAATACTGTGTGAAATTTAATATGATGTTTTGGAAAGTAAGTAGGCAGCAGGGCACCCCGTAGATAAAGATTTGCTGCGGGAAGCGCATGAGCAGGAGTGCGCTCCATAGATAAGGACTGGTAAGAAACATGACATGCGAACATGACTCACCCTGGAAAGGCCAGCACTTGCTTTGGTTTAAAGTGTAATTTGGGCTGAAACCGGTTTGGTTCAGTGGATAGAGCGTTGATCTGCAGACTGAAAGGTCTGTGCTCTGACCCGGAAATGAACCCACAACCTGTTTGGTACACCAGCCACCCGGCAGAAGCAAGAATTGCTTTTTTTAACCAAAATTTGTGATATCGTTAGCATTAACACAACATGTAAGAGAGAGCTGCCTCAAGGTCAGTCCCTCACAGATGTGCTTTTGTATATTAACAGATTGAAATCCTTACTCAAAAAACAGCTGAAAACACTCCTTGTAAAGTAACCAACTGATGTGAATGAGTCTTCACGTTTGAACCACAAACAGAAACAGAATATTCTTTCCTGGCCACCCCCCCCCCCTTTTAACTCAGAGGGAGACCTTGACTTCCAAGGCCTCTGCCAGTCAGAGGACAGCTCCCGGGCCTCAGGTTAGAGATGCACCTCTTGCTTAACAAACTGCCTTTTGTATGCAACTCTTTCATCCTGGAAACAATTCTACTAAAATGTTTCTCTTCACCGCCTCCTGCCCTGTGAACTATGGGAGAAAAAACCACAAACAGAATGTCTTCTTTTGATTATACTTGGAAACATGTCTTAGCGGGATGATAATGCTAGCACCAAAATTAACAGCATATGAACTGCATTACTCCAATGGAAGAGACAATTACCCAATCAGCAACGGCATGAATGGACTAAATGGCACCGGTTCTTTGCTTTTAAGTGGTGAAAACAGTAAATGTTTATGTGTCACTTGGTAAATGCTATGTATATTTCGTCACAGCGCTGTTTTACAGAATCCATTTTTTAAAAAAATATATCTTATTGATTTTTTTTTTTTACAGAGAGGAAGGGAGAGAGTTGGAGAGCCAGAAACGTCGATGAGAGAGAAACATCGACCAGCTGCTTCCTGCACAACCCCCAACGGGGATGTGCCCGAAATCTATGTATACATGCCCTTCACTGGAATCGAACCTGGGACCTTTCAGTCCGCAGACAGACGCTCTGCCACTGAGCCAAACCGGCTTCGGCCAGAATCCGTTTTTAAAAGCAATTACTAATATGCTCTCATTTCGTGATATATATG